TGGCTGGACAAATTGTAGGTTTAGGACTTTAAGGCTGGGTTATTGTCTCAGCACTTCCACTGGAAGCCATGTCTGGTTACAGAAAATGACTGGTGTAGGGTCTGTATTCTGTATTCCCCATTGTTAGGTGTCTTAGCTAGGGTCATACTCATAGACTTCTGGGAGTTTCCATTGTACTAGATTTTTACCTTATCCTGAAATGTGGGGAATCCTGGGGAAGTGTGTGTAGGGAGATTGTGGGAACAAGAGGGGTCAAGGATATACAAGAAAACCTACAGAATAAACTAAGCAGAGCTCACAGAAACTGAAGAGACAAACATGGACCCTGTATGAGTCTGAGCTAGGTGCTCTGCATATACCTTATGGTTCCATAGCTTCGTGTTCCTGTGGGACTCCAACAATCGGAGTAAAGGGATGTCTCTGACTCTTTTGCCTGCACTTGGGACTTGGCCATGGTCAGTGGATATGTCTGGGAGGCCTGCCCTTTTCTGAAGGAAAATGGGAAAGGTGTGGATCTGGAAGAGGGGATAGGTGGGTGTAGGGAGGGACTGGGAGAAGACGGGAGAGGAGAAACTGAGGTCAGAATGTAATATATGAGAGAATACATTTTCTTCCTTCCTTCCTTCCTTCCTTCCTCCCTCCCTCCCTCCCTCCCTCCCTTCCTTCTTTCCTTCCATCCTTCCTTCCTTCCTTCCTTTTATTTTTCAAGACAGGGTTTCTCTGTGTAGCTTTGTAGACCAGACTGGCCTCTAACTCACTGAGATCCACTTGCCTCTGCCTCCCAAGTGCTGGGATTAAAGGCGTGCACCACCACCACACAATGAAGAATACATTTTTTTTAAAGTAGCTGAGTAGCTTCTTGTAACTTCCACCAAACTTCATTGACACTCTTACCAACAAAAGATCAGAAAAAAGAAGCACAGTTTGAAAACCTAAGATGAAGAATGAAAGAAAAGTGTTTGTATCAATGGTCAGAACTAAGGAGAGCCAATTCCGTTTTCCCACTCCCATCCCAGACCTCCATCTGCCAGACAGCTCTTCTGGAGTGCTTCTTTTATAGGTTTTGTTTTCATTTTAATTGTTTTTGAAATACATAACTCATAACCTACTAGAAACATTATTTCTAAGAAAGGATCAGTTTTTCTTTTTGTTAAAGATATATTTATTTATTATGTATACAGCATTCTGCCTCCTTAATTGCCTACACACTAGACAAGGGCACCAGATCTCATAATAGATGGTTGTGAGCCACTATGTTGTTTCTGGGAATTGAACTCAGGACCTCTGGAGGAGCAGTCAGTGCTCTTAACCTCTGAGCCATCCCCAGCTCTCAAATAGTGAATTCTTGCCTGTGAGATGGGAGATAATTGGCTGGAGGGGTTTCAAAGAAAGAAAGGGAGAGAGAGAGAGAGAGAGAGAGAGAGAGAGAGAGA